CTCTCCCTTTCTCTCTAACACAACCTCAGGTGAGAATAAATAAATAAATATAAATAAATAAACCCTCATTTATATAACATTCCCAAAATAACAAAATTGTACAGCCAGAGAACAGGTTAGTGGTTACCAGGGGTTAGGGATGGAGGAAGGTATAGCAGGTGGTCGAGAGCAGTTCTGCATCTTAATTTTGGTGGTGGTTACAGGAATCTACCACCAGTTTAATGTGATAAAGCTGCACAGAAGTTTACACAGGCACAAATGCCTGTGTGTTAAGACCGGTGAAATCTGAATAAGCTCTGTGGATTGGACCATTGGCCATTTCCTGGTTTCACTATCTAGTTCTGCAAGATGTTACCATTGGGTGAAACTTAATGAAGGGCACAGGGGACCTCCTTGTGCATTGTTTTGCAATTTCCTATGAATCTATAACTTTTTTATTTTGTAATAAAAATTTTAAGTGACTGAATCCACGTGAATGAATTGTATGTGAAATTTGCTAAACGGTTAAGGTAAGCAGAAATAACTGTATAGACAAACTCCTAATTATATGCACTATTTTGTTCTGATATGAACTTTCTACATGTTCCTCACTAAGGGATTGGGAAAACGCTTATCCAGAACCATCACTTTGCAAAAACACTCGCAACAGTGTAGTCGCTATGAAGAGTACCTTCTAGAATTGTGCAGTGTACAACCTGTGCAGTAATGCACAGCAACCCTGTCTTTTGCCAGCTCCAGCAAAGGGTGTATCTCAGTTCGAATTCTTTATTTCCATCATTCTGGTTTCATGATCTATTTCTGTATTTCAAACTGCTCCACCTTCAAGCCAGTCTGGATTTTAAAAATCTCATTTGTGTATCAGTATTGATGTTTTGATTATAGAGAATTTTTAGTTTTGTACTTGCTCGATCTTCAGACATGCAAACAGCTCTTTTATTCATTTATTCAATAACTTGCAGTTAAGTGCTTACTAGGAGCTATAAAGATTGCTTTCCGTAGTGTAATTCTGACCATGGCGGACATAATGCACACAGGCATCCGTGCAGGCCGAGGTTTAGGGCACTTCATCCTCCTCCCCTGGCTACCCTGCAAAATGCTTCCTACCTAGAAATGGCTTCTCTCTGGAGCTCTGGGATAGATCTAATGGCCCAACTTGTTGGCAGAAAGGGAGCTCCCAGTGTGACAGGCTCCTTGAAACAAGACTGCCCAGGATGCAGAAGTGATTTTGTGTTTCTCTGTGGCTGCCATTGGGCCCATTCACAATCATGCTGTTCACAGCGGGGCTGGTCCAAGGACCTGCCCCCGTGCAGGCTCAGTGAGGGGAAACAGATGGAAACAGGTGAGTAATGGGCAGAGATGAGGAGGTGGTGGCAGGGGTGGTGCTGGGAAGAGGGCGGACAGATGAGGTGGTGCCTGAGCCTGTGACTCAGGGAGCTCCCCTTTGTCTGGAGGCAGAGCTTGCCCGGGCCATGGAAACCACGCCCAGCAGAGGTTCTTTCCTGATCTGCTTCTTCTGCCCCCAAATTTCCCTCACACAAGGGTGCAAGGGCTGCACGAAGGCTGCTTCCCAAGCCCTGCCTGGGATAAGGCCAGCGGGTGATCCCAGGTTTGGCTCTCCCCGTGCTCCTGAAAGGAGGCTTAGCCTTGCAGGTCTGATAAAGGGTCAGAGATGAACTAAGGGGGGGGGGGGGGGGGGGGACCCAGGATGCAAAAGTTTTCCTGGAGCAATTTGGGTCTCAACACGTACACTCACTCACACTCACACACTCTCAAACACATGTGCATACATGCTCACATACACACACACCTGGGATTACCAATCACCGATTCCCCCTTCACCAGCCCTACTTCCCAATCAGGTCTAGGGCAGGAAAGAGGCAGCATGGCAGAGGGGCTAACATAGTTACCTTTTCTTATCCTTTAGGGAAGAAAATGAGAGAGGAAGGGAACGTGCAGACTGCAAAGGAAGATTTTGCTTAAACTCCACTGACCTGGCCTTGCAAGCAAAGAAAATACTGCATAATTTTAAAAGGAGGAGAGGAAAACCCCTTTCGTCCTTCACTGTCAGACACATTTGAATCCTGGCCGCATGACCTCCTAGCTGTGTGGCCGTGGCAAGTGTTTTTTTATCTCTGGGTGCCTCACTCTCCTCATTTAAAAAATGGAGACGTTGATACCAACTTCATGGGATTTGGGAAGGTTTGAGGGTGACCCTGGGAGAGAGCGCAGAGAATGCCTGGCGTAGAGGCAAGCACATTGGGACGGCCTGTCACCCCCCAGTGGGACGCCTCCTCACGCAGCTCCCACAGAGGCTGTTTCCACTGTTCTGCCCGCTGCATTCTTCCAGGGCCCCTCTCAGTCACCTCCTTCCCCATCATCCCTTTCCCCTAAGAGGCCAAGAGCTGGCCTTCCTATGCCTGGGTTTCCTCACCGTCACCCATGTCCAACAGCCTGCCTCTCAGACCTAGTCCCAATCTGCAGGCCACTAGTGACACGTGGCAATGCCTGGCCCTGAGCAGGAATCAGCAAGCAGAGGGGTTCCACTCAGGGCTCTGCTCCACTCCTCAGGGAGCCCCCCCCCCCTTTCCATTCTTCTGTCCTCCACCACAGGGTAGGCTGAGAATAAGAGTGGCTGTCAGTGAGCATCCAGGCCTTCCCAGCACTGTGCTAGGAGCATCTCCTCTGTGACCTACTACCCGGACTTGGGATCTACTCTCTAGCCCCAGAGCCGCCCTGTCTTTCCCAAGTAAATGACTGAGGTTACCAATGGCCTCACTGTGGGAAAGGAAGAGGAGGAGATGGAGGAGCAGCAATGGGGCTGTCGACCTACCCGGTTTGCCCAAGACTTAGGACATGTCACTTCCATGCCTGAGGCTAGAGGGTGCTGGGAAGACTGGGACAGCTGATCACCCCAACAGCTGCTCAATCATGATGCCTGGGACTCCAGCAAATACTGGTTGCCGCTATAACAATGGCTCAGAACTGCAGTGCCAATTTTAGGAACGTTCTTAACTTCTCTGGGCCTCAGTTTGCTCATCTTTATTTAAAATGGGAATAGCCATGGCTACCTTTTCTGTCATTGAGCAGAAAAGGGATCAAGCGCATGGGCATCACCAACAGTGTATGTCACATGCAATGAGCCCCCACAGGTGCCAACAGCCAGCCCCGGGAAGGCTCCTTGTCCATCTGCCAGCTGCTGGCCTGGCTGCTCACTTGCTGTCTCCAAGCCTCGACGCCCTGGCCTGTCAAGTCGGTTCTGGGGTGAGGTTAGACAATAGATGCAGGCCCTCCGGAAACACAGGTCCCTCCCCTCTGCGGTGTTCACCTCCCCCAGTCTTTGGGGAAGAAGAAAAGCGGAAGGCAGAGAGCTGGCTGAAAAGAGACTGCGGAGCCTCCCCTGGCCAGGCCTGGGGTAAAGAAAAGGCTGTGTGTTTTTTAAGGAAGAGATCGAAACCTAAGACTCAGACGGGATGGAAAACCCCAGTCCCTCCCGTCCTTCAGCACCAGACGCCAGACAAGGAAGTCTCTCTGCTGAACAATGGTGAAAGGGACCTGGTGAGGGAGGGGCCGGCAGCGAAGAGAGGGTGTCAGCTGTGCCCCAGCGTCAGCCCATGCAGCCAGCGCACCTGACCTGCTGGGGTGGGAGGCGGAGCAGAGCCAGGGCCCTTGGTGTGCAAAGGCCACGTGGCTCAGGCATCTCTGTTAAAGCATCTGGCCCCGTTCCACTTCTTTTGACCTCTGAGCCCTGGCTGAGTTTGGGGCAAATTCCACCCCCTCCTGGACCCCCAGTGTCCATGGCCCCCGTGCTGACCGCGTGTTTCTCTTCTCGCTTCCAGGCCTTGGTTGTCTGGCATTGGTCTCCAAGGCATTTATGTGAAGGTCAGTGGCTCAGATGTCGCTATTTTTTAACATTTATTAGATGCCAATGGCATGCTGAGCCGTGGAGGAAGCAGAGGTAGACAGAGTGGGCGGGCACGGTCCAGCCTGAGATAAACACATGCGCGGCATTCCAGAGCTCTGAGGGAAGAAGCCCCGCAAAGCCGAGGCCGGGCAGCTTTGTTCGGGTTGTCACCTTTCAGGGCCTTCTCAGAAGTTTCCACTCCAGCACTTAGCGATAGGAGAGAGCAGCGCCTAAGGACTTGGCTGCCGCTGCAGCGCTCAGCCACCGCACCACATGGCCAGCCACTCCCCACATGACATGCTTTGCTCCCATGGCCCTTTGGCTCCCTTCCCTCCAGGCGCTCAATAATAAAAGAACAGCTGGAGACAGGGAACAGTCACCCTAACCTGGAACTCCGCCCGTCCCTCCTCCGGGGAGAGGGGGTTGAGGAGTTGGTCTGACCCAGAAGGAAAAGCCATCACTTTGGAAGGGGTCAAGGGGGTGCAGCAGGAGGGGTCAGCAGAGCTAGGAGTGCAGGAGTGCAGGGAGGGATGGAATCCACGTTTTCCATTGCCTTTCACCTTCCAGCTGACCCTCACCTCCTGGCTGAGTGCGCTCAGCACCCTGGGTGCAGCATAAAAACGCCCGGGGCCAGGGCTGGGGCTGGGGCTGGGGTGGGCGGAGCAGGGTGTGTGGAGTAAAGGCTCTGAGAGGAGGCTGGGTTCCAGCCCCATTCCATCCTGACTTGGGACAATTATTTCACCTCTGGGCTTTAGTTTCTTCATCTGAAAAGCACAGGGCTGGGGTGTGATGGGTTCACAAAGATCCTTTGAGCTCTCCGATTCGGCAGTGTGTGCTCCTGAATGAGCAGTTGGTCCCGTTCTGGGGGACAGAGGCGGAAGGTGAGGTGGTGATGGGAGGGCTATCCGCGCGGTCTCCCCTGAGAATGCTCTTCACGTCTCTGTCACAGGGCCTCGCCAGGTCTGGGTTTGGTACTGGCGGTCCCCACCCTCCAGCACACATCCTCGCTCACCTTCCAGTGACTCACGGCCACCAGGATGCAGCGCCCCAGAGCATGCCTGCAAGGCAGTGCCCACCGTGCCTCTCCCAGGTGCCACCGTGCCTCTCCCAGGTGCCTCGGCAGGGACCTGGCCGGGTCGTCAGCTGTTCCTAAGCCCGAGTTGCTCCTTGAGTTACAAAGTGGAGAGGACATGGAAACTGAAACAGGAGAAGCAGCTGCGCGGCCAGAGGGCTCTTGGGGCAGCTAAGGCAAGACAACCCGGCCAGAGTGACCACATTATTTATTGCTTCTCTTGGGAAGACATATATGGTTAGGAAAAGAACCCCTTCATATCACAAGACACAGTCCTGCTTTTTCGTGGCTCACTGAGCACCACCAGACTTACTCAAAGACAGCTGCCCGGCTCGGGCAGGGAAGTACCTAACGATCACATGTGAGCATCACCGTTATTTTTCCCCAAGCGCCTTACAGGATGTGGGGTTCAGAGAAACTGCATTTCATTTCACAGGAGGGAGGGAGGCCCCCCACTGAAGGGGAGGGTCTTACTCAGGGCCACCCGTCCAGCCACCCGAAGTGAGCCAGCTGAGCTGTGTCTCAGGGCCTGAGCCAGCCTGTCTCTGTCCCGGAAGTGATTCCGGTAGCCAGGCCTGGGATATTTTGAGAAACAAAGGGAATTAACCCCCTCCCCCCACCCACCAAGCCAAAAGCCCAAAGCATTCCCACCACTTCACAAACTACCACCCTGGGCTGCAGAAAGGAGAAAGGCAGGGGTGGGGAGGAGGCTGGGCGAGGGAGGAGGAAGGCTGGCCAATTGGAAATGATGTCATGTGGCCACAGCTAAAAAAACACTGGCTGCTGCGTGCTGGGTGCTGGGGCTGCAATGCCAGGCCAGTGCTGGCTAGGGAGTGGGTCTCACCGGTTGGATCAAGTGGCTGCTTTCCTGGAAACGGGGCTTCTGGTTGCTAGGGCTGATAAGGCAGGGAAATGCCTCCCCACCCCCTGGTTCATGGGAAAACATTTTGACATTGAAGAAGAGCTGGGACATGTTAACCGCTGAGAAAAAGCAGAGCAGCCCGGCTTAGTGGCTGCAGCTACCAGCCCTGCAGGGACTCGGATTACCAACTCCAGGGTGCAGAGGCCAAGGAATCAGATGGTGTGTGCCCCTGAGACTGTGGGGGCAAATCCCAAAGGACACACCACCTAATGTGGCTCTGGGGCACCCTGTCTTCTCCCAGGCTCCCCCCAAATCCAGCCTCCACTCTAGATGGCTGAGCCCTTGCACCACACGTGTGCAGATGGCGCCCTGGGAAGGGAGTCCAGGCGCTGCACACTTGCTGATGTGGCACCTCAGGCCAGCTCAGAGAGGGGTTACCCAGGGCAGTGAGGAAGGACCTGCAGCAGGCACAGGAGGCCCCTAGGAGGCCCCACCTGGGTCAGGGCTGTGCTGGCAAGTGTGGTCAGAAGGGCAGTGGCCTTGGAGCCCTTCTGTGCTGAGGTTCAGGACCACAGGGCAGCCTGCAAGGAGAAATGTTCGGGGTGATTCAGGAAATGAAATCCTTTGGCAGAGAGCCAGGGCCAGCCTAAGGTACACTGATTTCTGCCCTGTAACAAACAGTGTTGTAACTGATGCCTCCACCTCTCCATTTTCGTCCACTCAGAGTTCAGCTTCCCTGAAATGTGTGAAGTGCAGGCCCTCTATTGGGAAATCCAAGTGCCCATCAAATGCCCAAGACAGCTTTGGACCCACACACACAACTAACAATTTCAGTTTTTCTCTGATATCCCCTGTGAGCTCTCAGCAGAGGACCAGGGAGTACACTGAGCTCAGAACAGCAAGATCTAGATGTCCCTGTGGGGGGAGTCCCTAGCCTCTCTACCCCCCAGTCCTGCCTTGTAGGTCATCCTGGGAGCCTGAGTGCCCATTCATTTCCTGGGGTCTATCTCTGCTCTAACTGTGGAAGTGAGAGCTAATGGGCCCCCTACTGCTCTGTTGCTCTCTATTCACCACTAATAGCCCCTAGAGAACTGATTGTGTTCCAGGGAGGCATGGAGTAATGGGGAAGGGGAGGAATAGAAGCAGATGAGAAAAGGAATCTGAAACCAGCCATCCAGTGAGACCAGATAGGAAAGTGGGAGGTGAGATCAGGCGAAGAGGCACACCATAGACAGGAACCCATTGGCACAGGGTTAGGGAACAATGAAAAGTGCAAAGGCAGGTAAATCTAATTTTTACAAAAAGATATTAAAGAAAGTGAAAAAGGATTGAAAAGTTGAAGGGAAAAAATTTGGCCAATTAGAAACAAGGCCATACAAACACCTTCATGCATGCATACACACACACACACACACACACACACACACACACAGAAATAGATGTAGATGTAGATGATATAAATATAGATATGAAAGTGAGAAAAGAAATAAAGAGCAAAAAGTAAACATTTAATTAGAGCAATAATTTGTATTCCAGGAAGCTAGTAGGAATAAGCACTTTGCAAATTTAAATATTCTACATGGCAGATAACAATTGTAAATACAGTTGTATTAATAGTACTGAGCAGTAATTCTATTATGATTGACTCATCTTTCTTTTTGAAACCTTGGTTTAGCATTTTCTAACACAGTGCTTTAAAGGTCATATTTTGATACAAATCCCACCTGGGCCATTATTGCTGGGTGACCTGGACAAGCCCCCTGAGTACTCTGTGCCATCTGCAAAGGGAGTTGCTAAGAGTCCCTGTTCAGGAGGGGGCCGTGACATTTAAATGAACTCACTAATCCAAGTAAAGCTCTTAGAACATTTCCCAGTTAACAGTACAGACAGAAATGTTAGCTGTTATTATCATGTGAGATAATTATATGTCTTCTTTAATTTGGAATTAACTTGAGGCTAAGAAGCCAGTTAGAGGAATGTTTCAATCATCCAAGCAGAGGGTGATGGTGTCCAGAAGCAAGAAAGTGGCAGTGAGACTGGGGAGAAGGGACATTTGAGAGTTGAATCAGTTGACTTTGGAAGTGATAAAACATGGGTATTGCTGAGAAAGGAAGGAGCAGTCAAGTGAGACCTAGAAGTTCCTAGCTTTCTAGGAAGGAATATTAGCTGAGAGAAGGCAATAAGGGAGGTCCGAGAGTAGTGGGGCATAATAACTGAGGACTTACTATGTGCCAGGCAGCAGTCTAAGCATGATTCATGTATCCAGTTTTTTAATCATCATAAATTATGAGATAGTTATTAGTCCCGTTTTACAGTTGATAAAAGCAAGCCACAAGTCTGTAATTTTTTCAAGGTTACATAGCTGATATGTGGGGGAGTTAGGATTTGAGCTCAGGCTGTCTGGCTCCAGGATCCACAACCTAACTCTTCCCCATATATCGTTTCTAAAAGATAAGTTTAGTTGCATTTGAGGACAACTAAGATGCTGTGAGGAGTAGTCAGGTGGATATAGCAGCCTGAAACTCAGATGAGAAGTGAGAGATAGCAACTAAGCTAATGATTTCAGACGTGGGGGCATAGCCATGAGACCACCCCCATGGACATGGACAGGTAAGGGAAGGAGACTGTGCCACATGAGGAGACAGAGTCAGCTGCCAGCCACCCATGGGGACCTACGTGTTGGGTGCTTTTCATTGTGGACACAAACATCACAGTGACTTTATGTAGGAGGTTTTTCAGCTGCCCTTTTTGGTGAAGCTGCCCTGTCCTGGTGGGAGTCACACCTTGACTGCAGCAGCTCACTGTCCCTGAGCCCTGGAGGCTGAAGCTGAGGGAACAGCAGGTGCCTGGCCGAACTGAGGCTCCCCACAGGACACTGAGCCGATAACAAGTGATGCCAAAGCAAGGACAACAGGACTAGATTCCAGCCCAGGCAATGCCATCGTGTCCTGTGGTGGCAGGAGATGGCCATGGCTGGTGGCTGTCAGAGGAGTCCCTGAACCTGAGGCAGGATCATGGCTGGGTTCTGGCCGCCCATCTTCCTTTGGTGGCCAGTCACGTTCTTAGCCTTGTTCTCTCATCTGTCTGTCTGCTCAGTCACCTCCTGACATATTCCCCTGAATCCCTTTCCTAGAGTCAGTTTCCCTTGTTAATCCGGCTCTCTGACAAGTCCACATCAACCTGCCATTCTTTCAATAACTCTACCTTCTTTGTACTCCTTTCTAACCTTTGTAATAGATTAAGAAAAGGGATTATATATTTTCACCTAAAAGAAACAAGCACCTCTGACATTTTATTGGGGGGGGGGGGGGGGGGGGGGA